TGGTTTCAAAGAAAACACTATCTTTCTTATATCAGATATGCTTAATTTATTAAATGTAAACATATTATTTTGCTCACTGACCATGAAACTCATTGCCTTTTTTCCGTCTGGATTAGATTGAACCTTATTTTTTACATTCAGAAAATTCTCATTAAAACTATTAGCCAATTCTTTTTTTATTTTGTAACTATTCTGTTGGGATGTATTCTCAATTTGATATGGAATTTCATTGTCCTTTTTATTTACGCCCATCTCCTTGTTTAGTACAGCCCAAGTGGCTTTAGTTATATTCAATGATTTTTTAATATAATTTTCATTTGACAGTTTTTTAGAAAGGGTAGTGACTTTTTTGAAAATTTTTTTATATGTCTTAAAATAGTTGATAAAGTCTTGGTTTTTGTTCCACTTTGATTCTTCGTGCAACAAACGTTTATTCCCTGCCGAAATTTTTATTCCATTTGTAACCCAATTTTTGTGTTCACTTTTTTGATTTGTGGATTTAAATAGTTTTAAAGGGAATGCATTATTGAAATTCAACAAAACATTTGAAAGAAAACTATTGTAGTTAATGTTAAAGTCAAGAGAGGGGTCAAATTGCCATAATGATGATTGTAAATTGTTTCTGAAATTTTCCATGTTATCACATGAAAAAAATCTTCTGAAAATAGATTTAGACTTAGTTAAATTTTTTGTGTTGATTTCACCCAGGCATAATAATAGAGCTTCATGGTCCGAGTCACCTGCATTTATTACAATTTTATGAGCCTGGCTGGTTAAAGATCTATTATTTGAGAAAACATTGTCAATACATGATTTAGACAATGGAGTAATTCTTGTGGGATCCACAAAATGATGTTTTAAACCATGCTGTTCACAAATGTACTGTGAACGTACTGTATGTATGGCCAGCTAACTTCCTCTTTTTGCTGGCCCTTCTTTCTTCTTCGCTTTCCTATTGAAGAATCTTCTTCCCTTCTCCTTTTCCTTTCGCTTTTGCTTTCTGTTTCAGCCAACCTCAGTGGTGTCATGCGACCCGTGCCGAAGAGGTGAATGCCACCGGGCTCCCCAGCGGTGGTGCGTACGGAGCCTCCAGGACACCGGGCGACCTTCTGGAGTAATCAGCCTTACCTGGACATGCGGGGCTCTGTCTGGGCTCGACCTTCAATTTCCCTTTCTTCTCGTGGGAACACCATGGATATGAATAAAAAATCTGAACCAGAACCAAACCTCGGAGCAACTCTAGAAGTTGCACCGCCCACACCTAAGGGGTCAGCTCATTCAGAGCAAGACCCCGCTCTTGAAATGAGTGCACCAAGAGCACAGGAGGCTCTAACGCTCTCAAAACCAGGAACTTCCGCTATGGACGAATCCCCGCTCACACCAGCCACACTGGAAAGAGAAGAGGAGCTTTTAAGCAGTCCTAAAACACCAAATTCCTCTGAGACACTTGATGACGCCACTGAGCGACTTAGTCGTCTTAAGATGAAGAAACCTAACCTCTCCACGGCACAAAGAAGGGAGGCCTTAAAGGCAAAACTTCTAGAAAGAGGGGAAAAATTCAACCCTGACAAATGGCGCAGGGGAAAAAAGAAAAAACCCAAAAGACCACAGGAGGTAAGGACACCAGGCCCAACTGCGGGTCCAAATGTCGAGACGAGGGTGACCAAGCGCCCTAGAGGTGCAACGGTCACTCCACCCTCGGCAGAAGGACCTACAAAGAAGGCCAGGTGTTCTACCCAGAGGTCTGAAGGGGTGAAGGACGCAGGGGAGCCTGCAACGCCCAATGAAACATCCTACAGGGACATCACCGCTACCAAAATTGCCATTGTCCCTGAAAACTATCCTGAGGCTAAGTTAAATGACGAGCAAGGAGAAAAAATTGAGGAAGCAATCCTGGAAAGACTCCAGCCCTTAGAGGATGGTTCAAGTCCAGCGTTTGCTGGAATCTATATGGAAAAAGGTGCCCTCATCATTGCCTGCCTCAGCGACGCCACCAAGCGATGGCTGGAGGGATTGTTCCCGGCTCTCAAGCCTTTAGAGGAGCAACTCACCCTCAAAGCAGGGCTGAGAAAGGACATCCTGAAATCCACGAGAGTATTCTTCAGAGCACATCCAAAGTTGCTGAAGAAAACTCCAGAAAAAATCATAGAAATGTTTACTATGCAAAATCCCACTCTCAATGTCAAGGAGTGGAAGATACTGCCGGCCAAACCAGATCCGAAAGGGTACGGATTCGTCTGTTTCCTGGATGAGGTCTGTTTCAAGGCTGTGCAGTCCACCAACTTCAGAGCCAATCTAGGTTTCTGGCAGGTCTCACTTGTCACAACTCCGGTTAAGGACAATGCTCAGGGTCCTCCAGATCAACCTACAGCATAACAAGGCTGCCTCTGCCGCCTTCTGCCAGTTCTTCCTCAAAGAAGGATTTGACCTGGCACTCATTCAAGAACCATGGCTGCACCAAGGAAGAGTTGCAGGCCTTGGAGAATCAAAGGGTGAGTTAGTTTACTGCACTTCTCTAAGGAATGTCAGAACATGTATTCTCGTGAGGAAAGGCTTGAACTTTCTAACCTTAAACGAATTTTGCTCCAGAGATCTCACTGCGGTGTCAATGACCTGGAGAAATGGTGGCAGGGAATGGAGCACAACAGTAGGCTCGGTTTACCTGCCATACGACTCTAGGGAACCACCTCCATCGAGAGAGCTTGAGCTCTTGGTGGAAGCAACCAGCGCTGGTGGTCAACAACTACTCCTAGGTTGTGACGCCAACGCACACCACGCCAACGGATGGGGAAGCTCGGACATCAATCCAAGAGGTGAGTCTCTCCTTCAATATCTAATTTCAAACAATCTGTATATCTGGAAAGGGGGGCAACCAACCGACATTTCCGTCACCCCCTCCTTCCGTAATCCCAGGAGAACAGACTGGTCACAGTATAACTCTGACCTACAGTTCCAGTTGGGATCCGTGAGTAGGAGGGTCAGCTGCTTTGCAGACATTGACCAAATTGCGACCGACTTACAGGACGCAATGATCACTTGCTTCCATGACAACTGCCCTCTGGGACAGAGAAAACGCAGTACCAGCACTAGATGGTGGACTGCGGATTTGACTCGCATGAGGGCGGGTGTCAGGAAACTATTCAACCAATGCAAACGGAGCCGTATGTGGGAGCCATATAGAAGGGCACTTACAGAATACAGCCTTGCAATAAAAAAAGCTAAACAAAATTCATGGAGACAGTTTACACAGGAGGTAAACAGTCTCAGTGCTGCGGCCCGCCTTCAGCAGGTTCTAGCGTCCAAACCTATTGGACTCTTGGGATCTCTTAAGGTACCAGGAGGGCAATATACCACTGGGGTTGGAGGAAGTCTCAAACTTCTCCTTGAGACTCACTTCCCTGGTTGCATTTTTGAGAGTGACGACACAGGAGTGTCCGGTTGCACGAATACAAGTTCTTGGCCGAGAACTGATCGTGAAAGCTGGAATACAGCCAGAAGGGTTGTCACTCTCTCTAAAGTTAAATGGGCAATCAATAAGTTTGGTCCATTTAAGTCTCCCAAGGAAGATGGCATCTATCCAGCCATGCTTCAGCAAGGACCGGATGCCCTCAAGCTCCTCCTATGTGAACTCTTCCGAGCGAGCTTGGCCTACGGGTACATCCCTCAGGCCTGGCGTCTCAGCAGGGTGGTCTTCATTCCCAAAAGAGGAAAAGCAGACTACTCTGATGCTAAATCATTCCGTCCTATCAGTCTTTCCTCATTTCTCCTCAAGACCTTGGAAAGGCTGGTGGAGAGGCACATAAGAAAGGGTGTACTTCTCAACACACCTCTTCGTCGCAATCAACACGCCTACCAGCCAGGCAAGTCCTGCGAAACCGCTCTGCACGATTTGGTCAGCAGAATTGAGGACAGCCTGGCTGCTAAGGAAATAGCCCTATGCACCTTCATGGACATTGAAGGAGCTTTTGACAATGTAACATACGGAGCAATGGTGCGGGGAGTTTGTGAGCGTGGACTCGAGCAATCTTGTGTAGATGGACAGAGTCTATGCTTAACTCAAGACGCACCGTAGCCGACTTTCTTGGTGAAAAAATTGTGATCGCACCCACAAAAGGATGTCCACAGGGAGGTGTACTTTCACCCTTACTGTGGAACCTTGTGGTGGACGGTCTTCTACCTGAACTCACCAGCAAGGGCATCTTTGTCCAGGGCTATGCAGATGACGTAGTCCTCATGGTACAAGGAAAATTCACAAACATTGTAGCTGACGTCATGAACGGCAACCTACAATGTGTTAAACAATGGTGTCTCAGAGAGGGACTCAACATTAATCCTTCTAAGACAGTTGTAGTTCCTTTCACCAGGAAAAAGAACCTGGATTCTCTTTCCAGGCTGAAAATTGGCACTACTCAGCTGGGAGTGTCGAGTGCGGTCAAGTATTTAGGACTGACACTTGACTCCAAGCTGACGTGGAACAACCACCTGAATAACGCGCTGCACAAGGCCAAATGGGCGCTCATGACGTCCAGGAGGTTTGCAGGAACCACCTGGGGAATTAAACCCCACATAGCACTCTGGCTATACGAGGCTGTGGTCAGGCCTCAGATTACCTATGGTTCACTAGTCTGGTGGACAAAGGTGAATCAGGTAACTGTCATAGCCAAGCTAGAAAGCATGCAAAGGCTCGGCACGCTACAGGCCACTGGAGCCTTCAGGAGCAGTCCATCAGCTACTCTAGAAGTCGCTCTTGGGCTGCTACCACTGGACATCTTCATCAGATCTGAGGCCCTCAAGGCAGCTACCGTCTGAGGGTTGCAAATCTGTGGAGGGAAGGCCTGTCAGGGGCAGGCCACTGCGCCATTGCTAAGACTTTGGCTGAGTGTCCTGTGCTTGACACGACCTCGGACTTCCTAAGCAAGGAAGCAGTTTTCACCAAACCCTTTAATGTTGAATTCCGCTCCAGAGATGAGTGGAAACATCAGGAAGGGCATCTCCAAGATATGGAGAGCTTCGTCTGGTACACAGATGGCTCCCTAATCGATGGAAAATCTGGTTTTGGGGTTTACTGTCGATCACCCAGAACAGAACTATCAGGAAGTCTGGGACAATACTGTACCATCTTCCAGGCAGAAATCTATGGCATCTTGGCTTGTGCCAACCTAGGACTAGCCAGACGGTACCAAGACAAAAGGATAGTGATTTTATCTGATTGTCAGGCTGCTCTCAAAGCTCTTGACTCAAATGAAGTCACTTCAAAACTGGTCTGGGAGTGTTTCAACACCCTCTGCAGACTTGCATCACAGAACTCTGTAACTCTCGGCTGGGTCCCAGGCCATGTAGGCATTGGCGGCAACGAGAGTGCAGACAAGCTGGCAAAAAAAGGTGCGAGCATGCCACTCTTTGGACCAGAGCCATTTTGTGGCATCAGCAAAGCGGCTGCTAAACATGTAATAAACAAATGGTCCAGGGGACATCATCTTGAGCGTTGGCGTAATTATCCTGGACAATCACTTGGCAAAAAACTGCTCTCAGAACCTAGCACCCTCTTCACTCGCTGGCTGCTAAAGCTGGGGAGAGGGCAGGTCAAGCAGGTACTTGCTCTTATCACTGGACACGGCCATTTCGGGAAACATCTCCACACTCTAGGAATTGTCAATGACAAGCAGGAGTGTCGACTTTGTAACCAGTCCGATGAGACTGCAAAACACATTATTCTGGACTGAGATGGACTACGGGCTAGGAGAAGGGCTCTGTTTGGTCTAAAGCAGCCAGGTGAGGAACCAGACGCTAACATTGGGCAAAAGCTCCTGCACCTAGTTAGGGACACAGGCATAGGCTTACCCAGTTAGTGGCAAGCGGGATGCACAATAAGCTTCGGTTGACGTGCTTGGACCATGAGTCCACCCTCTTACGATTATCAACCAATCTAAAATACTAAAATGCTATGGGAAGGGGAGAAACAAGTCTACGACGCGAATTAAAAAGTTGCGAAGGAAGTAGTAAAAGATGGCAAAGTGGAGTGTGGGAACCGTTTGTGGCAGATACATTAATGTATCTGCAATACTAAAATGTTATGGGAAGGGGGGAAACAGGTCCAAGATGTAAAAGTAGTGAAGGAATTATTAAATGCGAAAGGTCCGGAGGGTGGGAACCATCTGTGGCAGTTGTATTAATGTATCTGCAATCCTAAAATGCTATGGGAAGGGAGGGAAACAGGTCCAAGACGTAGGAAGTGGTGAAGGAAGTAGTAAAGGCGAACAGTATAGGTATGGGAACCGTCTGTGGTATCTGCTATACTAAAATGCTATGGCAAGGGAGGGAAACAGGTCAACAACGTAGGAAGTGGTGAAGGAAGTAGTGAAGGCTAGCAGTGCAGAGTGTGGGAACCGTTTGTGGTAGTTACATAATGTATCTGCAATACCAAAATGCTATGGCAAGGGAGGGAAACAGGTCCACGACTTAGGAAGTGAGGAAGGAAGTAGTAAAGGGTAGCAGTGCAGAGTGTGGGAACGCATTGGGACAGTTAGATTTATGTATCTAAAATATTTAAATGCTATAGGAAGGGAGGGAACCAAGTCCACGACCTAGGAAGTGGTGAAGGAAGTAGTAAGGCTAGCAGTGCAGAGTGTGGGAATGCTTTGGGGCAGTTAGATTAACTTATCTAAAATACTATGGGAAGGAAGGGAAACAGGTCCGAGACGTAGGAAGTGTTGAAGGAAGTAGTAAAGGCGATAAGTGTGGATTGTGGGAAACGTTTGTGGCAATTAGATAATTGTATCTAAAATACTAAAATGCTATAGGAAGGGGGACCAAAAATCCACATGGCGACGTAGGAAGTTGCAAAGGAAGTAGTAAAGGCTGGCAAAGCAGAGTGTGAAACCGTTTGTGGCAGTAAACAAACATTTAGCAGACGTTAGATATATCGGACTGCGGCGGCCAAAGGGTTAAGATATACAAATATAATTTATCAAATCCAGTTTCTAAAAAATATAATAAATAATTTGGAGCATTACAATGCACAAGCAGGAGCATTTAAATCGCCCAAAAGAACCAAATTGCATTTTTGTGATTATTTACAAAAATATTGCAAATTATTAAAATCCTGGTCCCAAAACTATTGAGATTTATATACAAAGTGAAAATTTAGATACTACAGCTTTCTGTGGGTTTGAACTCGCTTTTGCAAAATTAAACTGTTGTTCATTAATAAAATTTAGACTATTACAGAATGGTGAAGTTAATCTTATTAATACAAGTTCCCCTCCACTAAATCTTCCCATATTTGATTTCCTTATTGCTAATTTGAAAAAATAGCTTAAATTTTTTTAACTTAAAATCTATGTCTTTTTGAGAAACAAAAGTCTCTAATAAAAAAACTAGCTAAATCATAATTACTTATTAGGCCTAAATCTAAAAATTAATCATTATTAACATTTTTCTTTAATCCACAGATATTATATACTAGTATTCTAAAATATTGTCTTTCATCTCGCTGCCCTGCGCTATTTTCACGATGTCTGAATTGAGGAATTGCGTGGACCCCTCACACTGCCTCCTGGTCTTGGGATGTAGTCATCTGTGTTGCCTCTGCCTGGTCCTGGCCCTGATGGTGTCTGGGATGCTGTCTGTAACGTCTCCTGAGAAGTTGTTGTTGTCGTCCCGTGAGATGTTACCTTGGTGTAGGTCTGTAGAGTTGACAGGGGTGACTCGTTTCTCTGTTTAGTGCCTTTCTGCGAGAGTTCTATGACGAAGTTGGAGAAATCATGCCTGAATAGTCTTCTTAATTCAAGTGCTCCGTCAAGTGTCCTGCCCTGAGTTTCCCATCCTCCCCCGTGAACCTTGTACCCTTCACTTGGAGATGGTCGTGTACCAGTCGCATCTTCAAACCTCCGACGAGTTGGTCGATTTCCTTCGCTAACCGCTGACAGCCGTGGACGTTTTAGTCTTATCTCTCGTGGGAAATCACAGTGAATAACGTGGCATGTACCCTTCAGGTTTTTTGGAGTATGTATTCCACGTCAGTGTCATCAGGTATATGCGCGATAATTGACTTGCCATCTTGACCTATAAGATGAGCTCTGTTTGTTTGTAAACTGTTCTTTTACACCAACACTACAACTTCTTAAATGAATATTTTGCCTACGAGGCTTCCTTTGATTAATACAATCAGAATCAGTAGTCTAATTTAAACTAGGTATGCGGCCTCAATGGCCTCATGTCTGCCAATTGACCGGAGTGAGCATCGATATAAACAAATAACCTTATTTACAAATACCATTTTTTATAACAAATCTATATATATAATACGCTAAGCCGATTTTTGTGAACAGAACTCCTCCCTCACTTTTGAACAGATTTTGACGATTAAAGTGTCAAAAGAATGGGGCCCTAATCTGTAGTTTTGCAAAGTGTTTTTATTTTCATTTTTTTTTTCTTTATTAGTTCGGGCTGCATTGTCCATCAAAGTTGGATTTTCTCCAATAAGATTAACATGGGGGGAATCTAACTATTCAATTGGAAACTTTGTCTCCACTAATTTAAGAGAACGACTGGGCGTAGAAACTTGGTAGAGGTGTCCAAAGAAAGCTCTTGGTCTGTAGATGAGTTATCAAAAGAAAAACTAAGTAAATTCCCTTAGGGCTCTGCCCTAGAAGCCTTTAAAAGATCCCTCCACAGATTTCTTTACATTTTGGCCATGTGGATAATACTCTTAATGAAACAGCTGTTAATTTTTAAATTGTATTTTAAACAACACACATTTATTGAGAGTTACTGAATTGTCCAAAAGAAGTATTTGCAATGTTATTTTCTTAACTCTTAGAGAGCCTTTGAATGTTATTAGACTCACGAAAAGCAGCTACTGTCATGACAGAAAGGTCATATTCTTTTTAAACTAGACCACATTATCCTTTATAAGATACGTTGATTAACAATGAATGTAAACGTCAATATTTACGGAACAGCCAATTTACAGTATGTTTTTCTCTTTGGAATTGCCACATTGCTATTTCATTTGCATTATTTGTTCTGTTGCCAATTAAGCCACACGACCATATAAACGAGGAGGCCCCTAACCGTCGATTTCGACGGGTTTCACCTAGTATTATAGATTACAACATAAAAACGTGAGTAAATGTTACTGACCAATAAACCTCTCATTATTTTAACCCATCGTTATATGCAATTTTCTGAAGTCTTGCCATCTCTTTTTTCTTTACTTTCCATTTGCTTCTCTTATTTATGCTTTTGACTCTCTCTATAGAAAATGGCTCAATAAGCAAGCCCTCAATTGTTCTAAGTTTTAACTCTTGACAATGCCTTGTAAGTAAAAATAAAATTCTGACTTTCGTAAGTCTACCACAGCCCTTATCTAAAGTACATTCTTGACTGCAATGTACTGAAATCGATAGACAAGATTTATTGCATAACTTCATATTGTGTTGTTTATTCCGAATCACGTTGACAATAATATTGTAAAAAGGTTAAAATCGCTTAAAAAGGTTAAAAACATCTTAACCCTTTCAGTGCTATGAAACGATATATCGTTGTTTTAAAAAATCTCTAAGGGATATAGAGAGGAAGGTTATTTTAACAAAAAATAGCAAAACGGCCATTGGTGACCTGCATGTTCATAGGATACACTATCAACCACTTAGCTAAAAGATTCGCCCAATCCGATGATTTCGAGGTGTATGTCTAAACCAAGGATTATGAACACCTCACTATGCCCCAGTGGTTGTAGTATATCGCTACAAACACACAGGTCACCAATTATTTGCCACACAGGACGGGATTCGAACCCGAGCAGACGAATGCCACTGGCCAAGTGACACACGCCCTAGCCTTCTCGGCTATCTGTGCTTGAAGACTGGGGAGTCAAAACCCGGTATTTAAGCTGTCGCCACCGATTGCGAACAGATGGCGCTGCAGATGGTTGTTCAATGCGTTACTAGGTAGCAGCACCGGTTAGTCACGGACTATTTAGATGCAATCTTTTAGTTTAAACACAACAGTGATCATAAATGTGTTCCTGAGACTTTGCTGCAAAACATTAGTTTCCCTAAAATGGCTATATTACGATAACCTTGTCCAACTTAATCAAGGTTAAATTCAATATTACATTGTAAACTATATGTCTTTTGATTTGATGAGATTTTGGTTTCAAATAATGCTATCAGAACATAAAAATTTATAGGAAAACCAGGAAAACTACAACAAAAACTAAGTTTTATTTAATGTTTACTACAAATAGCGGGATTTATATTTCTTATATATTTTCTTGTTGTGTTATTATTCAAAATTAGCCTAATTAATAAAATAGTGACAACATGACAGTTAAAATTCAACAACAGGTAATGGATTTAAAAGGCAAACAAAAAAGTCTTACAAAATATGAATTATTGGCCTAGCACTGAAAGGGTTAAAGCACATCGCAACATGCAACGGATACAGTCCTGTTATGATTGATAATTTAATTAAAAAACACCGCAAGAAATTGAACAATCCTCCCACTCAAATTCCACAAAATAAACGTGAGTTTGTTTCAGCAGAATTTGGCGAACAACTGCCTCTCTAACAATAAAAAATGAAATGAAAAAAAAACATGGAAAAATAGTATCCTTTAAAACCTCCAACAAATTAGATAAGCTTATAAACACTAAAGGATCAGGTGATGATGTTAACAAGAGAACCGGAGTATATAAATTATCCTGTAACGACTGCA